CTGTATCCCAGCTGAAATTCTACTCGTGTGCCTACAGCATCATTAATACCTCTGTAGTCACTGTTTCTGTGTGTGTACAGCTCCAGGGCAGTGCTGTAATGTGTGGCCTGAAAAAGATGAGTTCCAGGGATGCGTCAGGTGAGTTTTTTTGCTCAGAGCCTTGTATCCTTCTGTCCTTTGGTGGTTACTCAGGATATTTGTCTGCTGCTTCCCATTGATTACATACCCCCCATTATCTGTCCAAAACTCCTGTCAGTAGTTCCTAGGCTTGACCTGGCTCTTTCTACTATGAAAAATAAATCACAAAACAATGTGAGCAGACAAACAAATTAAAGTTTGGGGCATCTTGCTAAGAAAAAAGTTGAAATGAGTTCAAATACTTGATATTCTTAATGAGAAAAATGTGTCTGTATTTATCTGATGCTTTGCTGACATGATTAATAGTATTTTCACCTGCTCAGTGCTTCAGTACCAAACAAATCCCAGCAACTGTTCTCCTACAGTCTGACTGGCAAGCCTGTTGGTTTATTTCTGCTCTGTGACACCTTGTGTTTTAGGAAGAATTACTGAATCTGCTGCATGACATTACGCTGTCTTTGCAGGGTCACACTGCCATTTCTGACTGCAGATGTTGCTGCAGTTCCTGGTTTATCATTTTCTTTTGCCAAGGGTTTTTAGTTTTGAAAAATTTGTTTCAAATTGCTAAGGCAACTTCTCTTTAACACACACACACAAAGTGGTACCTGATGGATTTCCAAGAGAGGAGTTAACCATGTGGATAAGTGCTTGTTTTCAGAGCTGGGCTCTGAGCTCTCTAATACAACTAGAAGAATAATAGAAAAAAAAAATGTTATAAAGGGTTGAATTCTTCAAAGCCATGGAAGCTAAAAAGGGTAATGTTAACACTGCAGTGTTACTTAGCACATGAAGTAAACAGAGATATTATGTTTCGCTAGTTTTTTTACTCTGACATTTTACCAGGGTGTCTGAATGTCTGGTCCTGTAAATATAATTTCCTTATTAGTCATCAACAGATAATAGGGTCCTGAGCTTCGTGAAAAAAATGTTTATTTGCAGGTCCCAGAAGCTTTCGTTGTGATTCATTTCCAGCTTGTGATTGTGAAGTTTGTCAGGATTTTGATCTTGACCAGAGTGTTCCTTAACTGGCACTTGGAAGTCACTGGAAATAAGTAAGAAAGAAGAGGGGAAGAAGTTTTAAGGCCAAATAGTGCCCAGCTCCCTCATCTGAGCCGTGCCTCGTGGAAGCCTCTCACTGAGGTCCTGTGTTAGTGGTTCCCTCCCACCTGTGCTGCAGGCACAGCTTGCTTCAGAGCTGCAAACAAGGCCTTCGGTACCATTTGCAGTTATTCTGTGGTGCTGTGGGTTGCTACAGAAGAGCTGGAATGAACGGGAGCCTGGGGCACCTCCGAGGGCATCCCAGCTGTTAGGTTTCTTTACTGTCTTTGGCTCGGCTCCAGGACGTGCTGAAGCCCATGGAAAGATCCAGACAGCGCTCCCTCTGAATGAGCCACCTGCGCAGAAATGCCTGGCCGAGGGACACCAGAGGCGGGAGAGGAAGGTTGTTTGCATACTGACTCCTGTTTCTGATGGCCTTTTTAAAATATCTTTTCACTCCTATCAATGTTTTAGTGTTTTTTCCTACATTGAAGCACTAGTGATACGCACATAAGACTGAAATAGCTCAAGGAAAATCAGTATGGGTGTTACTCCATTTATATTGCAGCTATTTACATCTCAGAAATTGCTTTTTGTTATCATCATTACTGTTTTATGTTTTTTTTTGTAGGTTTTCTGTTTAAAAAATCCTTGATCTACTTCTAGCCAATGAAATTAACAGTTTAATTTCTGTTATAACTGGTGGCGCTTACCACTGTTAGCAAACATCTTCATTTCTTTACTTCTGAAATACAGCTCTGAATACGCGCCCTCAATACGAGTTCCCCCTGAACAAGTATGAAGGGCGCGTGCTTACACATTCAAATTGCTGTCTGTAAATGTTTGCATAACCTATGCATTTGTACATTTCAATGGAGAAATGTATTAAAGCTTTTCAGAAGACATGACTGTACTCCAGAATGTTATAAGCAGCGTTTAGCCTTGTATACATGACTATTATTGCACATGGCTGTTTGCTATTTAAGTAGTCCTGGAGTGTCTGATGTCAGCTCCTTCCCTTAAATAAAATCCTTGGGACATGTAACACCTGGCTTAGAGCCAACTGGCTCTGGTTTGCTTCCTTCCCAAATGCTTTCATTCATAAATGAGCAAAATGACTCCTCTTGTGATGAAAAGGAACCTAGAAACTCATTGAGAACACAATTTTATAAAAAGTATGGCCATATTTTCAATTTTCATTATTAAACCTCAGTGAGACTTTGATCCAGCTCCCAGTGGAATCAATGGCACGATTTCATCTGACTTCAGCGGGCATTTGTCTTGGACTGTGTGCGCTAACCACAGCAATGGGGAGTGGTGCGAGCAGCGGGCACGGAAGGAGTTCGTGAATTTTATCCAGTCCTCTGCCAGTGGGAAGGGCCTGACTGCCGCCAGAGATGGGAGACTTCTGGCTTCTGCCAATGTGAGCTTCGGTGCTCAAAGAGGGCAACTGTCATGTGGCAGTGACTGTGGAGGAATCCAGAGCTGCAGTGAAGTAGTGGTTCTCTTCCACACCGTGCTCCTGGGAGGAAAGCACAATCAACAGAACCCTAGAGCCTGAAGGCTTGTGGAAATGGCTGTTGGAACAAAGAACGATTTTGGGAGAAAAAATAATTGGAAGCCAAAATCTTTGAAGAAATTAAGGCTGAGTTCAATAAGCATCTGGAAAGGCACAATCTAATTCCCTGGAGGCATGAAACTATCTGCAAACTGAGTGAATGTAAGGTTAAGTGTCAGGAGAAGAGGTATACATCGGTGTGCAATGAGTCCGGATTTCCCTGGCAAAGTAGGCACATAATCATGCCCAAAGTTGTCCTGGTGCACTTCCCTCTTGGGTCTTAGAATCAGAGCCTAAACTCTTGGTAATGCTTCTTGTTGTAAGTGACCTCTCAGAGGTGTCTGTTACAACAAGGACCAGTTTTTATGGACATTGCAGACTCAAATTCATTCTGTTCATTCTTTGTCTGTGCAGGCAGCTTGGAGATGCACTCACTGCCTATCCTCTATATGCAGCATTTTTATTTTTTGGTAACCATTACTGCATTAAGCTTGCTTATATTTCCTGCCACCAAGGGTCAGAACTGTCTGCAGCGCACTGTGTGATGATGACTCTCGCATTTTATCACTCTGCTCAAATATTGCCTTAGGTGCTACTCTGTATTATTGATGAATAGTCCAAAAGCCCTATATCTAATGGGGCTTCATCTGAACAAGTCTGTGAAAATACTGTTTGCTTGGGTTTTTGTTTTTTGCCCACCTGATGCGTTTTTAGAAGTGCTTGAAGGTGGGTATAGCTGCTTTGCAGCAAGAGGTAAAGCTCCCTTCAGGCTAGGGAAATATGGGTGGTTGGATTTAAGGTTTTGTTTAATCTCTGTTCATTCTACACTGCCTTAAGAAGAGAGGGTTTTAATGTAGCAAAATGATGTGAACATCAGTGTGTAAACTAATAACACTTACTTCTAGCAGGAAAATTATCAGACTAGTCACTTTCATTGAGAAAGCTGATGTAAGGAAGTTCAAAGGTGCACAAGAAACTTGCATGACTCGCCTTTCATTTTTCATGTTTCTCACTCAACAGATGTCAGGAAACCTTAAAGGGTTTAAAAATATTTTCTGTGAATGCTTTCAGCTTTCAGGAAAGAAATGTTCAATTCCAGTCGAAACTTGTTTCAGCACTTAGCTTGGTCTCCTTGAGAAATTAAATCCCAATTTCATTCAGGCTTTCCAAACCCAGTGACTGTACCTGAGCAAAGGTACCTGAGTACCTTTCAGCTTGATGCTGAAAGACACTTCCCTTAGAGACAGATGTTGCTGCTTGCATTTGTGTCCCAGGACTGTGACAGGGTTGTACAGGCATGCAGGGCTTCTGGCAGCCCCGTATTTCGAGCCCGTTGAGCATGGCAGGGAGTAGGTCAAACTCTAACTGATGTAGTTGGCTTTAATCTGTGGCCTAATGTTAGATACTGATATAGGAACCTCAACTTTATATAAATATTGCAATTATTCTTGAAATAACTAGTGCCAAGATGAAATCCAGATCTGTGGTGGTTCAGAAGTGCAGTAGGCACGGCATCCATCTGGTGGAAGCTCATTGCTGGAGAGATGACCCTTGTTATTACCCTTTCTTGTTCTTTGGTTAGTCTTTCCACAACCTTCATGTAAATCCACCTCCACAGCAAAATATGCATTTAGTATCAAGGGCACAAAGCGTGTCTCTGTGTTAACAACGGAGGAAATAAGAGCATACCTAGCTCTTCTTCTAGACCCATTGTTACAAACACTATCTTCTCACACCTGCTGGTTTCTCTGTACCTGTGGTTCAGGCTGCAGCTGCTTACTGACAGAAACATGTAAGGGTCACAGTGTTATTTCTGTCTTTGGTATTTCTCGTGATGTAGAGATATTTAGGAATGCAGGATGGCTGAGGTGCAAGTTCTAATTAATGAGCATGATCATAATGTAATTAGCATGCTGAATATTGCCAACATCGTGTAGTTTTCTAGATTTTGGTAGCCCTAGAAAACACGCATCACCCTGCAGAATAGCACCAACTCCTGTCAATTTACTTGTCCTCTAAGTATTACCAAATAATTTTTGGTGTATTTGGTGATCCTGAAAATGATCCAATCACAGAGATTTGCTAATTCTGAAAATGACCCAATTACAGAGAATTTACAAAGTAATTACATTTTACCATTTATTTCCCAATAAATTCACATGACAAATGTAACATGGGTAGAAAGTCTTGAAACTTGAGCAAATTAATTAAAGATCTCCAACAGACAAATAGTTATAACATTGAATTTTCTTTTTTCTTTTAACAGGGTGGAAAGAAGTCTTACACCGGGCCATGTGGGGGCCGTGACTGCAGCGCTGGATGCAAATGTTTTCCAGAGAAGGGCGCAAGGGTAAGTTTGTTTTCATTAATACAGCTATTCCTTGTGTCCCTTACCAATTTGGAGGGGGAGGGAGAAGAGGAGCGTGAACAAGAACCAAGTTAATATGTGTAATTCTCAATCTAATGACCTCATAAAACAAGAGAAGTGAAGAAGACCAGCTGTGTTACTAATGTTCCTGGCCAAGATTTCAAAATCTCTCTGAAGGCTTTACAAATTGTTAGCTTTGCAACAGCTCTTTAATGGGATCTCATTTCTTTATGTGATCTGAGCCTTAGTTTAAAAAAAAGATTTTTTTAAAGTAAAATCCAACAATTAAAAAGGAAAATCTAAGTACTGTGGGCTTCCAGTACAGATTAGTACAGTAGTTGCTTGTGAAGAAACACAATCACAGAATTTCTAGGTTGGAAGAGACCTCAAGATCATCGAGTCCAACCTCTGACCTAACACTAACAGTCCCCACTAAACCATATCCCTAAGCTCTACATCTAAACGTCTTTTAAAGGCTTCCAGGGATGATGACTCCACCACTTCCCTGGGCAGCCTGTTCCAATGTATAACAACCCTTTCAGTAAAGAAGTTCTTCCTAACATCCAACCTAAAACTCCCCTGAAACAGTAACTCTGAATCTAAGTGCTTCCCTTTGAGGGAAGAGCACCTCTCTTTGAGGTCTGCATTTGAAGCGATCAAATGTTGAAGCAAGATTTCTCTAAGACTGCTTAATTTCTTTTGTTCCTGTGAAAGGGTTATAACCTTTATGTTAGTGCAGCTGGCAACTTCCAGGCTTAGGGTAATGCAGAGCTGCTGACTTCACTTTACCTTAAATTGCAATGTTAATTTTTATCCATACACTATCTACTTAATAATCTCTTGTAAGCTCTCTGAAATGTTTTATCATATATCAAAATGAATCTGATAGATTTTGCTTACAGAGATGAGAAAAGGAAAGATCTGCATTGCAGGTACCTGAAGAATTAATTTGGAAGGGTTCAAGTTGGGGGGGAAATACCATTTGTCTTGGTTAATGGTAATAAAATTGTTTTTGCTATTCTTACTGAAAGCATATGATGTGTTCAGTCTGTTATGTAAGAAAAAAATCTTTGCATTTATTGTTTATTTATAGAACAGGAATAAGGTAAAAATGGGAGTAACAATATATCCGTTCACTGAAGTGATCAAATTTCCAGTATTTCAATTCATTGTTCAATATGTCATTAATATTTCAGTAATAATTCCTAGCTGTTTATTTCAGATGAACATATGTCAGATTCATACCGTAATACAACGGGTTTTCTGTTCATTTTAAAGGTATTTCTTCAACTCTCATTTCCTCCATTTCATTTCTGAAGCAAAGCTTATAATGTGAAAATGTATTTTGCAGCTGACTGTTATCCCACTTGAGAACTTAATAAAAATAAAATCATTAGCTCTCCTAAAATAATACGATGCTAGCAGGTTGGAAATAATTTATTTCTTTATTGAAAAGTTTTTTTTTGTTTTTTTGCCTCAGAAGAAAAAAAGGAAAAAGAAATGAAGTCTTAAACATTAGCAATCCTGGTTTTTTCATGTGTATTTCAGTGACATGGGTAAACTCCAGACATCACTTTCTAGGACTGAGCTTAGGAAAATGTAGTTATATAGAAATGAACCTAAGCAGGTGCTTAAATGCTTCACTAATTGCAGACAGACTTGAGCATGAATTCTTAATTGATAACTGATGATATGTTTGCTCTGGAAGGATAAAAATTCTTTCAAATCATCATATGGTGCAAATGTGCCTAAACAAATAAGTGAAAGAACTTTGCAAGGAAATTCTCAACCTAAAATATGGGCTAAAGCCAATTACTCAACACCTTATGTGATTAGGTGCGGTAAGGCACAAGCCTGCTTTGGTTCTGGAACAGAATATCCTCTAAATGCTTTGACCTTTGGATAGCAATGAGCATCATCCTTCTGTCTCTTTAGATTGCTGGGGTTGAATGTGATTGTTTGAACTGGCCACAATGCTGTTGACCTTGCTGTTTGAGCTCTTCGTATCTCTTTTGTTAAGATGTCACAAAGATTTCAGTCTGTTTTCATTGCTGACCTGAGAACTCATTTGGATTTTAGCTTGTTTCTTATGTGACGTGTATCGATAGGCATTTTCAGTCCTTTAAACATGTGTTTCATCCTACTGAGGCCTGTCTGTGGAGTTAATTGTCTGCTAGAAGTGGTAATCGGTCCCTTCTACCAACACTGCTTCCATCAAGCCATACCAAGTCCTGCTGACACCTTCTTGGACATCTGCAGACAGCTGCTGGAGTCCTGCCATGCCAGAGGACAGGGAGGTGACTGGCTGAACTGGGAAAGGGGTTGGTGTGATTATCTGTCCTACAGCACTGCTTGTTTCTTGGAGGAGACCATACAGCTGGAGGCTAATTCCTTGGCTTCCTGCCTAGCTTCACCTCCACTGCTGCAAGACCTCTGAGTTCAGGACAGGCAAGTAGGAGACGGGACTCTGCCAATGCCCTGAATCCTTTTTTAGTTTAAAAAAAAAAAAAAAGGTTTCAGCTGTCATTTACACAACTAACTAGATCAGAGTAAAGCTAAGCTTTCTTTTTAAAAGGAAGGAATAACTAAAATGTACAATAAAAATGACAATAAGCTGACACCTCAATGGAAACAATATTGACAATGTCCTCAAATGTCCTTTTCCTTGGAAGTACTGCTGATCAGATCAGGCTGTGATGAACTTGTTTCTGAACAGATACTTTAAAAAAAAAAAAATATATATATATATATATATATATTTAGGCAAGAAAAATGACGGAAGTGCCCAAGTCCTCAGATGAGTTAGGTACTTCTAGAGATGGGATTCGGGCATGTAGAAACCCCTCATCTCACAAAATCATAGAATTGAAGGGGTTGGAAGTGTCCTCGAAAGATCATCAGGTCCAACCTCCCCGCCAAAGCAGGTTCCTTAGAGCAGGCTGCCCAGGTAGGCATCCAGACGGGCCTTAAATATCTCCAGAGAAGGAGACTCCACAACGTCGCTGGGCAGCCTGTTCCAGTGCTCCGTCACCCTCACCGTGAAGAAGTTCTTTCACATGTTGGTGCGGAACTGCCTGTGCTCTGTCTTGTGACCATTGCTCCTTGTCCTATCCCCACAAACCATTGAAAAAGGTTGGCCAAATCCCTCTGTCTCCCCCACCTCAGGTATTTATACACATTGATGAGATTCCCTCAGTCTTCTTTTCTCCAGGCTGAACAGACCCAGGTCTCTCAGCCTTTCCTCATAGAGAAGATGCTCCAGGCCCCGTATCATCTTTGTGGCCCTCTGCTGGACTCTTTCCAGGAGATCCCTGTCTTTTTTTTGTACCGGAGAACCCAGAACTGGACACAGTACTCCAGGTGAGGCCTGACCAGGGCAGAGTAGAGGGGGAGGATCACCTCCCTTGACCTGCTGGCCATGCTCCTTTTAATGAACGCCAGGATCCCATTGGCCCTCTTGGCCACCAGGCCAAGACCGGACCCAGCACCGACCCCTGGGGAACACAGCTAGTCACAGGTCTCCAGCCAGACTCTGCATTGCCGATCACCACCCACCTTGCCGTCCACTCCTCTATCCCACACGTCCTCAGCTTTGCTATCAGGATGTCATGGGAGACAGTATCAAAGGCCTTGCTACAGTCAAGGTAGATGACATCCACTGCTCTCCCCTCATCTACCCAGCTGGTGATGCCATCACAGAAGGCAATGAGGTTGGTCGAGCACAACTTCCCCTTGGTGAATCCATGCTGACTACTCCTCATGACCTTCTTCTCTTCCAATTGCTTGGAGATGGCCTCCAGAACAAGGTGCTCCAATACCTTTCCAGGGACAGAGGTGAGACTGGCTGGCCTGTAGTTTCCCAGATCCTCCTTCCTGCCCTTCTTGAAGACTGGAACGACATTGGCTATCCTCCAGTCTTTAGGCACCTCTCCTGTTCTCCAGGACCTTTCTAAGATTGATAGAGAGCAGTTCAGCGATCATCTCTGCCAACTCCCTTATTTCTATTTTTTTTAAGACAAAACTATCTGTATTAAAAGCATGAAACACGCAAGTAAAAGCTAAGAGTATATATAGACAAAGCTCTGATGTGTTTTTTTTTTTTTTTTTGTTTAGAATTTTCACAGAGTTATAGGAATTCAGCCATGGGTTTGGCTGTCTTCTATGGTAGCAGAATCCAGCTGTTCATGACTGCTTACTCACATGTTGCTCCAGGTGGCGTAATTGTTCTTGATGGCCACGTGCCTCATAGAGCCCTGGTTCATTAAAGTTACGTTCTTTGCCAAGTGCTACATGACTGGGACAAGCTCACTGTCACTGTAGGACATGTAGTACTGCAGAGTTGTTGTCCACTGGCTTCCATTGAGAAGTTTCAGAGCCAAGCAGGAAGCAGCAGCTGCCGTCCTGGATGGAAGGATGTGAACGATGTCATAGTCCAGAATGGATAGCTCCAGCAGGTACTTGGACAGAACATGTTGTTCCACACTCACCTCTGCAATCTTCGAAGCTCTTCTTAAGAAATGTATTGGAAGACGATGACCCAGACGAAAGTCCAGGGCTTGCAGAATTGTCACCTCAATTTCATGTACACCAGTCCAGTCCAAGCCACGAGCAGACAAGCATATGCCAGTCCAAGCCATGAGCAGCCAGTTAGTTGTCCCTGTGGCTTGCATTGGCTTTTCCAAGTTATAATGGTAGCTGATACCCATTTTAGGCTGTTTAGTAATGTTTTATGTAGTATTTCAAAGCCCACATGAGAATAAATCAGTTATTGAACCATCCTTCATCTTAGCCAGTGATTCAGAATTGGTCCTTGTATCCAATGACAACCTGATGAAAAGCCTGACTCTGTGTAATTTAATGGGAAAACTCCTGGGCCACGTTGTGGCATCTTTTTATTCGTTCCAATTTGGTAAAGATTCACGGGTACCAGTACAGTGATTGTACAGGAATCTACTTTGTGGTGGAGAGATGTCAACTTCTCT